GGGGGTTCTAAGATGGCAAATATTTGCAACTCCCACCTCCTTAACCCCTCCCCCCAATTTGAAGGCTAATGAGGTATCCTTAAGAAACTATATTATATACATTGAATTATAAACACAATAACTAAACACATAAGGCATTTTATAAGATAAGCTCTTTTACCTAGATACTTTTGAAGTCATTTTTAAAAGGGTTAATACTTTATGGCTGATTGTGAAGTCAAAGAAAGGAAATGCCCTTCTTTCCCTGTTCCTGTTCCTCCTTAAAGCAAATGAACCTGTAATAATAGAATATATCCAGCTTTTTCATTTATCATCTTAATGGCTCTTTAACTTTGTTTTCTCTCTTCCTTACGGCAGTTGAAAAATATCCTGTGTTATCATCACAACACCCTTTTCCTTGGAACAGAAGGTCAGGTAACAAATTAAATAACCAATCTCATAGTTTAAAGTATATACTTTAGTTTTAGAAACTGTGGAAAATAATCAAGTGACTAATTAAATACTTGTGGAGATAATGTTAAATAATATAAAGTGTTTCTAGATAAGAAAAGCTATACTCCTGATCCAAGAACATACTTTAACTGAATAAAAAGATTGCAACAGGTGGGTATGATTTGGTTAAAATGCTTCAGCAGATTGGTATGGAGTAATGAAATAAAATTAACATTCTAATTGATTTTTGGTAATGAATTTAACAGTTTAAAATGGTGATGGTAATTTGGAAAATGGAGGACTGTTTCTTCAAGCAGAATTCTATATCCAGGGGTGGGATTCTGCTGGTTCAGACCAGTTCGGGTGAACCGGATGTTAATTTTAATCTGGTTCGCCAAACTGGTAGTTAAAAGGACTGGCTGACCACACCCACCTCACCCCGCCCCTCTCAGGAGTCTACACGTGGCCCATTTTGGATACCAGGTAAGTGTAGGGCATGTGCGGAGCTTGAGGAGGGTGAAAAATGGGCCTACTGGAAGTACCAGAAGTCCTGAAACGGACCCATTTCCAGCCTCTGGAAGGTCTCCGGACCCTGGGGGAGGCTATTTTCACCCTCCCAGAAGCTCGAGAAAAGCCTCCGGAGCCTGGGGAAAGCTAAAACAACCCCTCACTGTGGTGTAGGAAGCCGACTAGGCCACAACCCCATGGCCACGCCCACCCAGCAACCGGGCACAGAACTGGTTGCTAAAATTTTTCAATCTCACCCCTGTCTATACCTATAGATATTGTTCATCCTATTTCATCTTGTCAGTGCACTGTTGAATCCAAAAGTCTAGCAAAACCTTCCTACCTTACTCCTGGCCTCTCTCTTTCCAATATCTGTAACCCATGTAAATTTTATACCAAACTGTATATGGCTTTATCAGTATTCTGAACTGGCCTGGAAATCTACTGGCAGCCAGCTCAGTGGTCTTAAAATCAGTGTTCCTCTGCTATAGTGAGAATGTGCCAGTGACAGTCTGGGCATTGCATTCTGTATCAGTTGTAGCTTCCAGGTTATCTTGAAAAGAAACCACATGTGGAATTACAGTTGTCCAACCAATTGGTGATAAAGGATAGCACTGTCATTAGGACACTGCAACAAAGCTGGGCAAAAGCCCTCCAGCCATGGCTTCTATCCTCCTATGAAAAAGCAGCCATGACTCTCCAAATTATGGAGCGTGTTTAGCGGGCGTACAACCCCATCAAGAGTAACTCCTGGGACTGATGTTACTGAATGACTTGGATGTATGCAGTCAAACAGAAATTCCAGCTTCATAGGGATAATGTCAATTTATATCTCCCATGACTATCCAGTCCTTAACAGCCATCAAACACCAGTTCAAGACTTCAACAGTGTCTCCAGCTCAGCCTGCAATGGGTCATCACTTGAGCCCAACTCAATAGGTAACATCTCTCAGCAATTTCATAAGGATACATTAACTTAGTTAAATTAGGATTCATAATATTGGGAAGCTGGAACATGGTACTTTAAGGTTATGTGCTAATGACTTGGATAATGAGATATAAAGAACATATATTAAATTCATAGATGATACAAAATTTGTAGTTAGTACACTAGAACAGAGAAATAAAAATAGGTGTTTTTTTTTTTTTTTTTTTTTTTTTGCCATTTAGGAAACAGGAACCAGCTATACAAATTAGGATAGGGGATATCTGTCTGTATAATAATACTTGTAAAAATAATGGATTACAAATTGAATATGGGTCTGCATCAGTGGTGGGATTCAAGTAATTTAACAACCGGTTCTCTGCCCTAATGATTTCTTCCAACAACCAGTTTGCCAAACTGCTCAGAAAGTTAACAACCGGTTCTCCCGAAGTGGTGCAAACTGGCTGAATCTCATCACTAGTCTGCATTATTATGCAGCTGCAAAAAGATAAATTCAGACTTAACTTACATCAACAGAAGCACTGCGTTTAAATATATTTGTTCAACTAGCTTTTTCCATTGATCACACTCCTCACCTCTCACCTTCAAGTACTGTGCCTGATTGTTGTTGTTATATTTCTAAAAGAATTCAAAGAGACTGAAATAATTCAGAGAAAGGCAACAAGGAAGATCAAAGAACTAGAAACTAAATCCTGTGATAAGCGATTCTATGAAATTGGAATTTTTAGTTTTAGAAATTAGAATTTTAGTAGGAATTTTTAACCTACCTAAAATAATAGTAAGAGTCTTTTTTTTAAAAAAAAAAGTTATATTGGAAAAAGGAATATATTAACTGATTATGAATCATCAAGACTGTGTTGACTCTTACCAATAACAAAAACAGATTTTCTCTATGATAATTTGACCTTAGCTCGGTCTTTTAGCTCCCCAATAATAGACCCATTATTGCTATTTCTGTAGATTGTCTTCTTCTCATGTTCCTTGTCCCTTTCCCACCATTATGGACTTCTCAAAAAGCTGGATCTTTGTGTAAACATCCCAAAGTATATAATAATTTGAACCTAATCATTAATACCTCAAGTGAGAATTCTTGATAAATTAGTCATATAACCCATTATTTTCTTGACAAGGGGTATATTGACATTGTTCCTAAATCTTTGCTTTTTGTTGGCTTTAGCTTTTGATCCTTAATAATCAGGTTCCAGTTAGGAACAATACATGAAAAGCATATTCCATTTTTTTATAAACTATGGTGTGAATCACTGATCCCATTTCAACAATGCAGCATGGAATTTCCTCTTGTTCTTAATTAAGGCAATCCAAAAGTGTATTCTATCAGTCACTGACAGGCAGTATGACATGATAATGAAAGCTAATTTTAATTACCACATACGAGTTACCGAAAGGATCTGCTTCGATGACTCAACAAGCAGCTTAGTCAATCAGAGAATTAAATTATCAGTGCTTTACCAGGAAAACCCTTTTTGAACCAGACTAGCTTCCAATAAAATGAAGTAAATGTTTGATACAGAGATATTTGAAATCTGAAATGTGCATCCCACAGCTAACAGGTAATGCACTCATATCACACACTGAGAGAGAGTAAAAGAATGGTAAGCTTTTCATACACTGAGGGTTGTTATGAGTGATTTATTTACAGAGGCATAAAACATTAAAATTAGGTTGTTGATTTCAGTAGGATTTTTACCCCTGGTGTGATCACAACACATTTAACAAGACTAAAAGTTACCGACTGATTATACCAATAGCAATAGCATTTAGGCTTATATACTGCTTCACAATGCTTTATAGCACTCTCTAAGTGGTTTACAGAGTCAATATATTGCCCCCAACAATCTGGGTCCTCATTTTACTGACTTCAGAAGGATGGCAGGCTGAGTCAACCTTGACTCAGTGAGGATCGAACCCTTGGCAGTCAGCAGAATTAACCTGCAATACTGCATTCTAACCACTGCACCACCTTGGCTCATAATATAATAAAATAAATACAATAAAAATATTAAATATAATTAATTATTTCATTTTATATTGTGTTACACATTTTTTTTGTTTGTTCTTATATATCATGTAAACATGCATGAAAAATAGAAATTAGAGCTAAAAGTAGCAGTGCAAAAAGTTCTATTCCATGATGTCTTTTGCCATATGGATTGCCTTTCCACTTGATCCACACTACCTGAAAAGTAGCTACTCAGTTAACTAAAAGTGCACATTAACAGAAATACAGTAGTTTGCCTATTAGGATAGCATATTCCTGAATTTTTATTTAATGATAGATTGCAGAAAGCAGATGTGGAAAACTGGTAAGTAATAAACAATGCATTAGAAAACCTTTGAGAGTTATGGTTAAAAATGTATGTCATATCTACGTGAGGTTTTTTGTGATCGTTAAATAATTTCTTATTTTTAATCCAATTCAATTTTTTCTTGCTTCTCCTTTTAAGTAGTGTTATTATTAACAAGGCCTAGCAACTGCTCATGATAATCTTATAAGATTCCCCAGAAAACTCACATGCTCAAAATCCATTCTCAGGACACGTTTCTTCCATTATGTGTTTGTAGAGTTGCACATAACCACAATATCATCACTTTCCCCCTATTATTGATTCATTGACTACATTTTTATTCTGCCTTTTCTTTAGAAGCTGAAGGTGCAGTTTGTGAGCAAGGAAAAGAACTAAAACACCCAGATTCACTTAAGTGAGATGAACGGTGTAGAAATAAATAAATTAGGAAGTCTTAAGTTGAATGGATTTGATGAGACCCTTAAAAAGAGAGAAGTCCGAGGTTTTATGAACTAAAGGTAACATACTCATAGAAGAAGCCAGCATGATTGGCCAGGATAGAAATATTTAGTGAATGGGGTTGATAAAAATTAGTTGTAATTATATTTCCTTTGAAATATTTTTTTTGCTATTCCTTAATTTCTTTTAGTATTTCTTGTCCCTTTTCCGCACTCTGTTTATCCTGAAAGAGAATAGCATGATACATTCATGCAAGCATTTTCCATTTAATAAATTTGGAGAGAGCAAAAATAAATAAATAAAATATACTTCCTCTTTCCTGGAAACATTTCAGTGTGTGCTATACTTACTGTTAAGAAGACGGAAGTCTATGAATGGGTAGGAACCACGTCGCTCAGAAAGAACCCCTGTCTGACCTCTCAGGCGTACATCTCCTGCAAAATATAATGGGGCCAATGTTAGAGATACTGTTTTCCCCTCCCAAAATTATTTAACCCCTTATACATTATTTAAGAGTGAGATCAATTCAGAATGTTCTACGTCAGGGGTGTCAAACTCGATTTCATTGAGGGCCACATTAGGTTATGTTTGACTGTGAGGGGCCAGGGTGGGTGTGGCCAGAGTGGGCGTGGCCAGTTCAACATCACTTGTGTCGGGGGTGACTGTGGTGGCCCAAGCATTCTGCCAACGAAAACAGGCTCCTGAGCTCCATTTTCGGCTGCAATGGCTTCCTGCAACCCTGTGCCAGCAAAAATGGAGCTCAGGAGGGCTGCGGGCAGCCGTCTCGAGCTCCGTTTTCGCTGGCAGAGGCACCACGGGCCAATCCTTTGCTGTTTCCAGGGGAGCCCTGCAAGCCAGATCTAAATACCCTGTGGGCTGGATCCGGCCCCCGGGTCTTGAGTTTGACACCCCTGTTTTACATAGAAAATAAAGTTTCTAAAAGAAAAAAAAATTGTAGAGTTTTATTTATTTATCTAACATAGTCTTATACTGTCAGGGAAAAACCTCCAATGCCTTCAGTACTATATACATTACAATCAAACACATAATATAAATTGGTTAAAAAATGATAAGCACTGGCCATGAATAATGGGAGAGTACAATCCTGAAGTACAAATACATATGCAAATAAAGATATTTCAAAGTATAAATAATAAACGTTTCTCTTCAAGCAAGGAATCCTTTTTCAGTATCCAGAGGTTTTCCAGGGTAGACAGGATTGAGAATTCTGGATTCAATTTTTTTTTTAAAAAAAATCTGGGTGTTTTCAAGAAACAGGAGTCTTCCATTGACATCACACCTTACCCTGCCAATTGCACAAAACTGGTTTGCTTTTCCCCATACTGATGATTATACTTACTTAAGCCTTATCCCACTGAAAACAATGATCCAAATTCTTGGTCTCTCTCACCCCCTTGACAGTGGTGGGTTTCAAAAATTTTTACTACCGGTTCTGTGGGTGTGGCTTTGTGGGCGTGGCGTGGCTTTGTGAGTGTGGCTTTGCGGGTGTGGCAGGGGAAGGATACTGTAAAATCTCTATTCCCTCCCCACTGCAGGGGAAGGTTACTGCAAAACCCCATTTCCTCCCGATCAGCTGGGACTTGGGAGGCAGAGAATAGATGGTGGTGGGGCCAGTCAGAGGTGATATTTACTGGTTCTCTGAACTACTCAAAATTTCTGCTACCGGTTCTCCAGAACTGGTCAGAACCTGCTGAAACCCACCTCTGCCCCTTGACCAGACTCTCTGTGTCTTCAAGACAAGAAAGAAAGAAGTGTAACCACCCCTAAAGTGTCTTGATGATTTAAGTCTCAATGATTCTTCTTATCTGGTACAAAATGCTATATATTGCACTATATGCTAGGGGTTATGGGAACTGTAACGAGACAATTGTTATGAGCTAGGCAGCACTTTCTTCGTTTGTCTTTAGTCTAGTTTATTAGGCAGCTGTCAGGGAAGGCAGAAAGCATTGTTGACAGCTTCCCATGTCTGGAACATCAGCTCCAGACAAACTTAATATAAAGAGCGACATTTAAATTTCTGCGCTGCTTCAACCCTGACTTACAAATATTCTCCTTTGTTGAGACTTGCTTTTGTTGAAAGAGGGCTGAGGCTGAGCTAACTTATTCTGGGGGTGCCTTTGTGGCACAAGAGGGCACTGACAGGGCAAAAGATGTACCTGCTAGGAATTTGAGCTCCTTGATATTATTCAACCTTAGGAAACATGTTTAAGATTCCTTTTTAAGTAACCAGCTTAAATACATTTAAATTTTCCATTTAAAATGGAAATTGTAATGGGCAGGATCGGAACCAAATTTTCTAGCCTTTTATGGCTGTGAATATGTGCTTAAGTATGGCAATTCTTCCTAAAATATTAAAAATGGGTGAATTTGAAGAAGCTTGGTAGAAATCCTGATCGTTAGATATTATTACACAGGTATATTATGTAACTTTTTGTTCCAAGGGATGATTACCAGAATAAAAATAAAGTATGCGTATTAACTTAGCTTTTGTGGATTACATACTTTGCACGGAATAGGGAGTTTGTTTTGTTTTAGTGCAGAGAACATGAAGAGAGATATAACTAAATTGCTCACTTAGCAAAAGATAATGCATGGGGTTGCTATGGCAACCTTGCAGCCTGGGGGTACTTCGTTAAATGTTTCTAAAATGTTACATTACAGTAAAATGCATTTTTTAATTATGTAATTAATACATAATTGCCAGCTTTCTCTCCACCTTATAAAAAATGTGCATATCAATATGGAAATTGAAAGAAAAAATGTGGTTCATCACTGACATTTTGAGAAAAAGATCCAAACCCAGTAGCAGTTCCCTGCCAAAAATTTTCTTTCAGCTGCTGGCTGCCCCCTTCCATTTTTTTCAACTCTGGTGCCAGACTTGGATCTTCTCAATTGCATCAAGGAACTTGCTCTTTTCCCCTTCTGAAGGCACTCCACATACATTTTAGCAGTTGAAATTTCACAGATAGTAATGAAAACAACTTATCAGCAGCATGCCATTTTGCCTGCTCAGCTTTTGCTAGATTTAACCATTGGCCTCGTAGCCACCTTTTTATTTTTATTTTTTGCTGTCAGCACAACTAACTCGGATGTCTGCTTCTATTTCTCAATGAGACAAAAACCTGGAGTTGATAAAGATTGGGTTCAGTAAGGAATGTTATGCTATGAAAGTAGAAGGGAAGACGTAACCTTGAAAAAATAAAAAAATAAAAGAGGTTAATTACAAATCTGAATTAGGAAAGTAAAAAAAGAAAAGAAAAAGAAAGCACTACTTTAGGCCGTGATCTGTCAGAAATTATTCAGGAAAAGAAAATATCTTATTGGAAAGCTAGCCAAACTTTGGCCCTGGAAGAGATAAACTATGTGTGACAAGATCATGTTGAGTTCTAAGCAAATGGCTTTTCTTTCCAACCATGTCTGTATGAAAGAATTTAAATTCAATGTCCCTCTATATACATAATGTATATATACATTATATACATTATGCTCTATATACATAATGTAAAATCCTGTTGGGCTGAAGTGGACTGTGTTACTGTGTAGGATGTAAATTGAGAATTTTCCTGTTTAGACAGTAAAGTCTTAACCACCGAAAAACATGCTGGTGTGAAGATAGTTTTGTTCTCACAAAACTGTACCGCAGTATAAAGATGTGATTATAATATCTGTAGCATGAATCTACCTATGCCGAGTACAGTATTGTGTGAAGAGAAGGTGCTATATTAGATTTTGCCGTTCCAAAATAAATAGAATATGAAAGTTTTGCTGAGCACATTGTAAGCCGCCCTGAGTCTTCGGAGAAGGGCGGCATATAAATCAAATTAAAAAAAAAAATTAAAAAAAAAAGTTTTGAATGCACTCCTTCATATGTTATGGTCTGTAACATGGAGATAGCTGATCAAGAAGTGAATCCTGTTCCAATAATGGATTGTCATATTCAGCAAGATAGGGTTAAACAATGTCACTCAGGCAACAATGTGCTCCTTAAATCTCTCAAATTACTAAAAAAATATTTAAAATATCTTTTGAAAATATGGGAAAATTTAAAACAATATCCTATGGATAATTTATTACTTGTATGAAATGTATCACATTTTTTCGGGGCATGAGGATTTTCTGAGTCAATATTTTTTTTTTTTTTAATTTGATTTATATGCCGCCCTTCTCCGGAGACTCAGGGCAGCTTACAATGCGTTAAGCAATAGCCTATATTGTAGCATATATTATGCAATGTGATTGTGCCTTAAGGCAATCTGTACCCAATAACCTCTGCATAACCTCTTATTAAAGATAAACTTGGTGCTTTTCCTATGGCAGGGGAAGGGGGAAGCAATTTCATTTGTCCAAACACAACTCTTGTTAGAGTTACACCTGCATTTTAAAAGGCTTTTGTGATCGTTGGTAATCTCTACCCTTTGGGATGATAGGATTTCCCCAGTTTAAATGTGAGTTAATATGAGAAAAGAGAAATCACCCATCTCTTTAAAGATGATGACCATATACAATCTTGAGAGAAGAGAATATTTGTAGGTCAAATATTTGAACTGAGAGATCCTTGGTGCTCTGTGAGCTTGGTGGTTTTCTTGCAAATGTTTCATTATCAAATTAGATAACATCATCAGTACACTGAAAAGTTATGATGACATCAGTGGGTATGACAATAGTCTTAACGGCATATTAACCTACATTTCTGAATTATGTGCTACAAAACCTTGCTTATTTCACTGATGTTCATGTGTGTGTAGGAAATACTCATGCTACATATGTTAAAATAGACAGGAAAAGAAGAGGGAATGATTAAAGATGGCTCATGTCGCCTCATCATGAAAGAAAAAAATAAAATGGGAAAAGAAATTCCAGCCATCCCAACTATAAAAAATGTTGTCTGGAAGAGTAAAATATGCTTAGGAAAAAAGAAAAGCTGAAATTCAATTATATAAGTATCTTCTAGAGGGGCAACAGCAGATGAAAAAAATTATATGACACAAATACATTTAAAATTACATTCAGTATTTCACACATAGAAATCAACAGCAAGGAAGAGACTCAAAATAGCACTGAACAGCATGTAAGAAAATGCAAAAGTATTAAACAGATGCAGGGATATTTTGAATTCCACATGACTGGAAGGTACTTCAGTGAAAAGTTATTATCAATTTATTATTTCAATTTATAGAGCTGCTCATGTCAAGTATATGATTCTGGGCAGCTAATAGCAATTAAAAGCTTTATAAAATAACAAAAATAAAATTAACAAACCATATTTTTTTTAAAAAAACCACATGTACACAAATCTATCAGCACCACATATGTGCTGTAAAGCACTCTGATTCTGATTTAAGAACATGTTTACATATGAAATGGCCTGGCTCTAAGAAATCAATCAAAGTGAAACAACTGCCATGGGTTTCAA